ATATATATATATATATATATAAAAGAACTTTTTCCCTAACCCAATATTTTCTAATTTCATTTTATTTTTTCTTCTGCCTTAATCTCTTGAGATTTGATGTATAAAAATTTCTAATTCAATCTTGGTTGGATTTCGGATCCAATTATGAAGTTCACCATTACACAGAGCCACACGTTGCCCCTTCTTATCTCTCGATTATATAAATATAACTATCAATTTTATTTACATAAAAGTCTTATAATTATATATTATATTAATTTTAATAAAACAATTTCACGCGAATAATTTAGAATAATTTAAAATAATTCTGGTGTACAACAAAGAACTGGAAATTATACATAAAAAAATTTACGAAAACATATTAGTAGTCTACACATAAACGAATGTAAAACAATAATATAAGCATAAAATCAAAATGTTAATTTCTTATGGTTCCTGCATACAGAACGCGGCAATGCTTGCAGCGCGGCGGAAGTTCTCGTACTAGTCAATCATTCTATGTTTTTAAGTCGGACTCACTTTGCAAAACTTTTACAAATGATGCAATACTACTTCCGCTGCGCGACAAAAGTTGGATTGAATTCAACTTTTGTTGCGCGATGGAAATTATGTATCTATTATATTACTTCCAAATGAAACGTCAACTGGCTATCATATTATTGTTTGTTATTGTTTTTATTACTGTTTTCATTGTTTAAGTTGTTATTACTTACTGTGAAATTAAAAATAATATGTTAAAAGAAGTTTTTACATTATATTTTTAATTCAGTTTTTATAAGGAATCGGTTTCTTTGGTCACACATTATCCGTTTTGAGACATACTGCATGTTTATAATATCCTAATATGTTAATTGCAGTTCAGTGTTGATGAAGAAGCAGGGAAGCGTCAAATATATCATAGATACTGTATGGAACGTGCAGCTTCACATTTAGCACATGTATTTACAACAGTTTCGGATATCACCGGTTTTGAAGCTGAACATTTGCTCAAACGCAAACCTGATATTATCACGCCGAACGGATTAAATGTAAAAAAGTTTGCGGCATTACATGAATTTCAGAATTTACATGCTATTAGTAAAGAAAAAATACACGAATTTGTGCGAGGCCACTTTTATGGGTTTGTATCAAAACGACAAACATTGAGACATAATATACGCGCAAATAAGTAATAAGAAATAGACATCTAAAGTGTTGAAATACTAATCTCAACAAATAACAAATATAATTAGACAGTAATCAAGGGACTAATGAATTAAGCTCGTTGGTCGTGTGTGTGCTAAATAATTTTTTACAAATTAATAACACAATATAATTAATATTCTAAGTATAGTCAAATATTTTAAAGATCATAATATCGTAAAACGTTTTCGATCAAGATTGAGAATGACTTTTTGATAGATCAAAAATATTGTACAATATTGTGGTCTTTGAAACACTTAATTACACTTAGAACATTACATTGTTTTATTGGTGCGTGTATATCATAAAATATTCAAATTTATGTATGTTTGCAGACATTATGATTTTGATTTAGATAAAACATTATATTTCTTTACCGCTGGTCGATATGAATTTGGGAATAAAGGAGCTGATATATTTATAGAAGCTCTAGCCAGATTAAATCATTATTTGAAAACGTCCAGACCAGACTTAACAGTGGTTGCTTTCCTTATTTTTCCTGCAAGAACTAATAACTTTAATGTTGAATCTCTTCGAGGTCATGCTGTGAGTCATTATTATCTTATACAATATTAGTTTGATAACTATTATTTGAAATATTAAAATACATGTGTCTTATCAAATTACTATTTCAGGTGACAAAATCTTTACGAGATACTATCAGTGATATACAACAAAAAATAGGAAAACGAATGTATGAATTATGTCTTTCTGGTCGTATGCCTGATGCTCAGGACTTGTTGGAAAAAGAAGATACTATTAAAATAAAACGGTTTTTCAAGAAATAATCAAAATAATACTCTATAACTCTATAACTAATATTGATTTACTTGATGTTCTATTTTGTTTTACAGATGTTTATATGCTCTACAAAGAAATGGATTACCGCCTATTACGACACATAATGTTGTTGATGATTGGAATGATCCGGTGTTAAATGCCGTTCGAAGATGTAATCTTTTCAATACTGTCCATGATCGTGTTAAGGTATATGTATTGATACTTGCAAGTATGTACGTGATTTACATGCCCGCGCGCGCGCGCACGCACGCACACTGCATAGGGTTTTAATTAAGCACTGAGATTAAAGCTCATTTCACAATTGAAAAGCATAAGCAATAGCAGCAAGAAATAACAGATTTTAACCCAACAGAAACTATATACCAGACCAATCAGACTTAATACATAATCAATATTATATAGTTTATATAGCTAATATGTATTATTTATAGATGGTATTTCATCCAGAATTTTTATCTTCGACAAATCCACTATTTGGTCTGGATTATGAGGAATTTGTTAGAGGATGCCATTTAGGAGTTTTTCCTTCATATTATGAACCGTGGGGTTATACACCAGCTGAGTGCACAGTTATGGGAATACCCAGCATTACCACTAACTTGTCAGGATTTGGATGTTTTATGCAAGAGCATATAGCAGATCCGATGAGCTATGGTATTTATATCGTCGATAGGCGTTTTATTAGTTTGGAAGCAAGTGTTCAACAGCTTGCTCAATATATGTTTGATTTCGCACGACTTAGTCGTCGTCAACGTATCATTCAAAGAAATCGTACAGAACGTCTTAGTGATCTTCTCGATTGGCGAAATCTTGGCATTGTAAGACATGTATATTTTGCTATATTTTTTTCAATTATTTATTTTGTATTTCATATATCTTCTATATCCATCTTCCATAGTATTATCGTCAAGCAAGAATAAAAGCGTTGACTACAGTGTATTCTGAACTGGCATCAGAGTATGCAGAGGGTGGGATTGGTCGCTTTAATTATCCCAGACCAATCAGTGAACCGCCATCTCCATCATCTTCACGGCATACGACACCGGCCGCATCTGTACATGGTTCGGATGACGAGGATGAGGTTGATGATGAAAAAGAGGTAAATAATAAATAATCCGAACTTCAATTTAAATATTGTATACGTAATTATTATGTATATATATGTGCAAAAATAATATATCATTCATACATACCGTAGCTAGAAGAATTACGACAATCAAATGGAAGGTAAATAAAGAGACCAAGAATATTAAGAATAAGAAGTAATCAAGTGCAATAAGTTTCAAGATAATTTATGGAATGCACACATAACACAGCGTTGCCAAAATATTAGTTGTAATTTCTATATAAAATATATATATATGTATATCTACATATTTTAAAAATCTTAAATACAATTTTGAACGTTTTTTTATCGTTATTTATTATTTTACACTGCCGTACAAAACACAAAATAGAATAGTAAGTAACTAAGAATTAGTAAGTAAAGATGTATGCAGCAAATTAGTAACTTAATCATTGCTTTTTTCAAGCTTTATTGATCATCAATTTGTTTTATTTGCTAATGGAGCAATTTATTTCATTAAGCAGATCCAAACTTTTCATTATATGACATGATTAACAATCACTTTACTATACTCTAACATCTTAATATCGAATATTGGAATATATAAAAAAGGATGTGTGTGAAAAAAAGTATATGTTCATATATCGCAACACATTATGTGCGTATTGTGTTTGTACGTACAGTAATATAATCATACAATCAATGAAATCAATATACATCTGTAATTACATTGTAAAATGAATATATTATTGCTGTATAAAAAAATGACTATTATTTTTATTATAGAATTAGAATTTTTGAATAAAAGTTTTTGTCATGTTGAGTTATACTTAATCATTGCCAATATATTCACATTATTCATGTAACAAGAAGCAGCATCGAAATAAATTATATATTACAAAAATTTTATAAAAAAATGGATACAGATAAAAAAAACTGCTACAATAAATAAAAGACAATTCAACGATAGAATAGAAGATTTTACTTTATAATATTAACATAATATACAAAATGAAATGACTAACAATAAGTTACATTTTTTTGCAACATGATCATGAATTTGGCACTTATATAATAGCAAATTATCTACTGTTATAAATTTTTGAATAAATATTTACACATTACAAGAAGCAGTGTAATATATTATAGAATTGATAACAATAACTACAGCTTTCTGTAACAAATAGAAATAGTGTATAAAATGATTATAATTTTAAATAATTAATATAATCACATATTTCATTCAGTAAATATGACAAAAAGAGTGATAATTTGGAATGACTTTCGCATAACGCTAGTTAATATCATCATATATGCTACGAGATTCGGTATTCGTATTTATGTTTTTCTAATTCTATATTAATAAATAACGTTAAAAATATTAATACTAATTATAAAATATTTTAATTTCTAGTATTATTTTACTATCAATTATATATAAATAGCATGTCATTTAGAAATAATCTAAATTCAATTTTTTCGTTTTCAAAATTATAAATAAAAAAAGAAGCATTTGCATACCACAAAAAATAATGGATGTCTTATATATTCAATAAAATTCAGTAATTTATTTTCATTCATTATTCATGACTTCCAGTCATAAATATGATATTAAAAATATGATTCAAAGATTCATAATGAAAACATAATAAAACAAACAGTATCTCTGTAAGCGATAAATTAATATATAATATATACTATCGAATGACCATCATTTTAATTTAAATGGCACTCGTTTTGAATTAAGTAGAATTTTGTAAAGAATGATGAGAAATGCTGGAGTGACAAATTGTCGCGACATTGCAGGTTGATATAAATTACCTAATTGAACAAAATTAATAATTCCTTTACAAGATTGAAGTATACACAAAATTGTGAGATAATGCAGTGGACTTTATAATAAAATCGAAAAAAAATTAAAGTTTTATAGCACTATGTGTTACACACAAAAATCTGTACTGCAGCCTTTACACTCCTAAATAAACACCAGTGTAAACACTATACAATCATTGAATCATGGCGTCAAAAGTAAATTTAAATAAAATGAAATAATAAGATCGCTTTAAAACAATTGTAAAAATGAATGAGAACTACGCTTATCCCTTCTGATATTCAGCAAATAATCGTAAAAAGTAATAAAAGGCACGTAAAGTGTTATTCAATACGTAAGCTTATTTTCACTTGCACGTGCATTTCATTATTTTACAATTACTCATCTGTCAGAGGGAATAAACATAGTTTTCATCTATTTTTACAAATGTTTTAAAATAACTCATCATTTTATTTTATTCTAATTTACAAATGATATTTACAAATGATATGTAACACAAAAATTAATATATTATTTCTTTCTTCTGACATCATGATTCAATATGATTGTGGTTACTACTCAGGAGATTTCAATAATCTTTTCTATCGACATTGATCAAGTTCGGCTGTCACTCCAGCATCACCTAAGATAACTAGGCAGTCAAAGATTGCTTTTTTAATTGCATTTTTCGAAAGTTTTATCTTTCTTGAATAAATTTATTGATGTCAAAATTCGTAAAATTATCGATTAAATAAAAATGGAAAAAAGGAATATTACAATAGTAATATGTAATTTTAATATTTTGATTATGCGATATAATTCGGCAAAATTCATTAATATATTTTTTATTATTGAGCAGAATAATTTTAAATAGACAATGGCTATGGGTCTGTTTTTTGTTCCTGCACTGTCTGAACTAGTGCACACGGTGCAATAAGTTAAAATGAAACAAACGTATATTTGTTTCACTTCAACTTATTACACCGTGTGTACTAGTTCAGATAGTGCAGGAACAAAAAACAGACCCTATGTTTACACCGTGCGCTTAGTCCGCGACCTATCTATCCGCGATTGATCTTTGTTTAACCTACAAGATAAACAAGGACATCTATTGTATAGGCCTAAATGCACGGTGTAAACGTAGCCAATGTGAAACTTTTTTTCGTATCATCAAAAAAAAGCGAGAATTATTTAGGTGACCTGTTTTAGATGCCTCGTCTTGTATAACTATGGTATATACTACAATTTATTATATAATAAATCAATGATATAAACTTTCATTTTTTCAATATATTATTAAAAAAGAAATTTAAGAATTTATATATTAAAATTATATAGATAATTTATCGTTAACATAGATGATAATTAATAATCTTAAATAAAATTATATGCTTCTATAATTTATATTTTGAAATATAAAACTTTATTAAAATATTGGCAAATCTTTATTATCTAACTATATATTTTTAGTCATTAACATTAGTATCAAATCAGCTATTCAAGCTTGATTTAACACTTCATGCAATGACTAAACTTATAGTTACATTTTAATTTTATACTGGCAAGTTTCATTTTGCATATTTTTTATAACGCAATTTTCTGCAAAGCTTTAATGAGTGAAGGAAAAAGGATATTCCTTCTTTAGACCGTTAATATAGATAACCTTTGGTTACATAATAAGAGCACTAATATATATTATTGTATTAATATCGCTCAATGTGTATATATATATAATTGTTTGAAAACTATTCTATTAGTCTTTAGTTAATTGGCATTTCACGGTATATGGCTTGAAAATACAAATGGATGAGGTCGTTACAATCAGCTCTATACGTACATTTAAACAATCTACGATATTTACTTCGACCATATTTGTCCATCTTACAATTTGTCTAGGTAAACGTAGATGGCGAAGACTAATTCTAATATCTATTAGTAGTTATATAAAATATATAATTTATATTTCACATATATAGAATATAAAAACGATGATAATGGATTTCGATGATGTATGTTATGTTACATCTAAATTACTAACATTAATTTATTATATACCGAATTTAAAAATTAATCACAAAAGCAGATATAATCGATAATTGGCAAAAAGAGAATGAATTTCTTCGTAGCTGTATACGATATGTATATAGAGTTTTTGTGTGCGGTGACATATTTATTTTATTTTTATAAAGCAAAACATACTTGAGTAGCCGCATATTGAATTTTGACGTAATAAGTGAGTAGTGACACGTTAATTATTGTTGTGTACCATTTGTAAAACAATTTGTATAAAATGAAATGATGAAATCGCTTTAAAACGCTTGTGAAAATGAGTCAAACCTATCTTTTCCTTATTGACAGTCAGTAAATAATTGTAAAAGATATGTAAAAGTGAAAATAGGTTTACGCATGCGGATTAAGTAAACGTGCTTCACGTGTTTTTTAATATCTTTTATAATTACTGACTAGTTGGGAAGAGGGGTAATGATGACTTTGATCCATTTTTACAAATGTTAAAATTAATCTTATCATTTTGCTTTATCTAAATTATTTTTATTTACAAATGGCATAATATTATATAACAAAAATTAAAATGTCATTTCTTGGTTACGGTGTCAAGATTCAGTATTGCCACGGCGACTACTCAAAAGAGGCTTAAACTCTCAAATTAAAGAAAATGAATTATCAATAATATAATGCTTGAAAACGAACTATTACGATATATTCTTCGTATTATTTGAATATATCGATACGTTAAATACGATGGCATTCAAGTTAATTTTTTTTTTCAATTTTCAGATGGACGGATTAATAATTTATGTATGATTTGATTGAGTCCCTCCCATCTTCTGTTGCATCATATTTAAAAGCAGTTCGGAATATTGCTGCATCATATTGACTACCTTGCTCTGATCCTGATCCGCGAGTAATTCTTGAAACTTTGCCGTCGCTTCATTAGTGATGGCGTTCTCACTACTTCCGTCATTGTCGTTCTCACCACCAGCAACAACCAGTCGTAGAGTACGCATAGTTTCATTAATGGACGATTCCAATCCACGCAGCATTGTATCTCGATCGATTGCTCCTGTAGATGGGTCATTGTCTATCGTCAAACGTTTGTACAATTGCACGACATTGTCCGCAGTGCGTGTAAGTTCGTCTGCAATCGTACTGCATAGTTGTGTGGACACTGCAAGAACGCGTATTAGTATTATATTTATACTGTGTATGTGTTTAAATTTAATAATCATACATATATGACGAGAAAAATAAATTTAATAAACATGTTGTAAAATATGCAATTAACATGCATGTCTTAATCAATATAACTATTGCTTTTTAATTCGAATCTCATTCGAACTAATTGATATTTATTGAGCCTTATAATCTTTAAAACTTTTTTTTGATCGAGTAAATTGATCTAAAAGAATACACCAATAATAGCGAGCGCTCGCTCAACTGTTGGATTCGCGAAATGCGCTCAATATATGCTACATTATACCAAGATATCA